GATGGAACTTGCCAAAATAAATTTTGCTTTTTCTAAATATGTGGACCCTCAGCTTGTGCTGTTTTATCAAGGAGAGCTCAGTTTCATCTTTTTTTTTGTATCAAAGTATGCAAAAGACCTTAAGGTTATTCCCTTTTCAACACCACAAATCAATTTAGAGTACATTAATGTCCTCCTTGTCGAAACCAAGTCTTGAAAAACACGCTTCCCATAATGTGGCACATTAATTCACTGGTAAGCAACTTTACCTACCTAAAGATATACAGGATTAGTGAAAAACACACATGTATGTAACTAACTTACACTTGCAACGATACTAAACTACTCAATTCAAAACATTCTTCAGCTTTTAAGAAAGGATGGCAAGATTAATTTCATATATTCTAGTAAATTTAAACTCTATCACACCCAGATGAAAGTTTAAAACCTCAAAAATATCTTTCTAGAGATTTTTTTTAGCTTCTGCAAATAAAATATTTTACTTTCGTGTCTGATATTTTTATGAACTTGCAGCTTTGAAAATTCAAAAAAAATTTCAAATTAAATATGCTAACCTTCGTTGTAGATTTTACTAACTGATTTTTATGTCTTCCAACATTCTTGTAAAATACAGATTTATTTTATGAAATTGTATATTCTTATCTATTTTTTATTCAAAAAAATCTGCATAGCAAGTGATCCACTATGCTCACAATCACTGGCATATGACAAAAATATGTATTTTACCTAACCTATTTTACCTATATATATATATAAGCAGCAAAATGAAACTGGATACAGTTGATGGCAAAATGACTTAACTAAACCTACCTCATCTTGTTCTATTAAAAACATTTATTTTCCTATCATACTGGAATACTGTAATTCAAATGAAGCAAAAATAATAATGGTTTTCACAATCTTTAAAAAAAAAATTCACAACTGTAATTGTAGTAGAAATTGTTCACAAAAATTTAATCTTCAAGCAACATATCATCAAGCTAAATTATTATCATTTTGTTCTGATCTCTACACAAATATCCACTAATATGAACGTTATATTAGTTTATACAAATGAAAAGAAAATTACTTGTTTAGATAATTAACCTATGACCTCTCAAAGCCAAGATTTAGGAAATTATATCACACTTTGATAACTAAGGTTTAAAAACAATGCTTAGCTAAAATCTATAAAACCACAATTTTATTGAAGTTATGAAATTTAAATTAGTGCTATTTTGTTCAAAACTATTTTGACTTTCCTCCTAAGAGGCTATGATGACATATAATGCTGAGAAAAAATTTCTGGAAATTCACAAACACTAATGATTTCATTAGTGCTGAAATCATTAGCATGCTGAAATCAACCCAAAATTGCTATTTTTACATCATTTATGTATATAAAACTAAATAGGTACTTTTTCTTTTACTTAATAAACTTCAACTCTAAATCTTTTTTTGGTGTGTGAAATAATAACAACAATTCTATCTTTTATGATTTGTTGAATTAAATGGTGCATTTTTGCCCTAAAGGTGGGATGCACCCATTTGGGTGTGATTGAGTTAATAAATATAATCTGTTCTAATTTGTAACAAATAGTAGAAAGTAGTAAAGAAATATACCATTGCAAGTATACAAGTTAAAGACATACAGATATGATGTGCAATAAAACTCATGAAAAGGTAAAAGAGCATAAAAAATATCCCTCAGTTTTGAGGAAAGTGCAAGAAATTTTTAAAATGCACAACAGGGTATTCAATATTTTTTTCATTTTTTTTTTATATTGGGCAGATTTAAATTGAAGCAGTGTTAATCAACTCTGGCCAGTGTTCAAATACATGAAATTTCAACTCGAAGTTGTTTCAAATACAAAATCGAGGCCTTCATATGACTTTCAAAATTGTCAGACTCAAAATTGAGGTTTTGACCAAGATCATTTCAAATTGAAACTGTGAATCGAAACAGTTTCATAATCAATATCAAATCAAATTTGTAAATTCTCTGTTGCACAAACTCCTAATCATTATTTATTCACTGGGACAACATGGTTTAACCTTTCATTAGGAATTTACCTTAGGTTGAAGTTACCATTTTCATCCTTCATTAGGGCCTAAAGTGAACGTTTATCTTTTGACAAGCCAACATATGCTTTCTTCAGGTTCTGGCAGCACCTTCTGACTTCATGCCCATAGTTCTGGAATATAAGCTTAAAACTGCTTAATGTTCTAACTAGGATAACAGGCCTTGAGAAGAATTATACAGAGGGTTGAGTATGTTATATTAAAACAATTTTAAATATACAAATAGGCAAGTCATGTGACAACCACAAACAATATCTAAAGTCACTGTGATATGGCACATATCAGAACTACATTCTGACATTGTTTGGTATTTCATTCACACTGGACACTGTAAAGACACCAAAATTGATTTCATCTTGGAATACATAACAGTCATTTTTGATACATAATATCCATACGCTCATATCACAAAAATGTGTTCAGATCAGAGACTTAGAATTTCCAAGAGAGGCATATCCCTTGCACTTAATGGAATCAGAAAACAAAGGACTATGGATTACCTTGGGGAACCAATACAGAAAGAGACTTGTAATAAGTTGTAAACCGAGCTGTAGAAAGCAAAATAAGACATCTATTGATGGTTCAGTGGCAAAGGCTGTCCATGTGAACCAGATAACAGTAACTAGCAAGGGGAAATGATGATGAAGATATGATGACACTGAATGAAGTATATGTGTGTATCTAGATAACGTAATAAGTCTTAAGCTATTTTCTACCTTTTAATGAAAGAAAATTTCCAAAAATATTACACAGCATGTTGAAAAATCATTTTAAAGAGATTCATGATCATCACTGGATTTTGTATCTAGGGCAACTCAAAGATAAGAAGAGTAGATACAAATGTCAGGGTGAAATATATTTACTATGAGACCAATGTTCTGGGCCTTTTGTATCACACACAGTAATAAGTGCTCTGTACAAAAATGAGGCTAATATGGCATGGGTTCACTAAGATAAAGCTTCCAGTCAAATCTCACATTTAACCATTCCATACCCAAGCAGTTGGAGAATGAAATTGATATTCATAGTATTCCATGCAAAGAGATACTGCTAAGGTTTCCTATGGATTTTTGTGTGATTGGACTGTTGAAACAGATAATGGGAAACCATTGTCCTTATCAGCTAAATAGATAATGGAAAACCTGCAGGGAGGAGTGGTGAAACATGAACATGACAGCTTTAAGATGGAACATTTTTCAATGGAAAGTATGCTGTAGGATTATTGTCAGGGAGCTTGACCAGACGTGCGTAGCAACATGGAGTGTACTGATGTGGTTAAGTTCCAAAATCATTTTAATATAATGTACTCAACCTTTTGTAGATTTTGTACTGAGAGGTAATAATTTCTAATAGTGTGATACTTAATTTCATGTTATACAAAGCATTGCCAAATGAATAAGTACATGAACCATAAAGATAATATAGGAGAAAGGTATTTGTTTTAAGCCAAAACACAGAAAGGCTATAAAAAAATAATGGATTATATGTACTTATGACAACAGACACCTCATCATTTTTACTCATTGTATGTATACAAAGTTTCTCTCCATCAAAGATAATATTTACCAACTACTCCATTAATGTGTGGTACTTGATTATGCATGTGACGAATAACACATTAGGTTTTAATCTGTCACTTTATAAATTTATTACTTTTTAACACCAGCCTATATTTATAACAGAATGTCAACTTACCAAATTGTACATTTGTTACTCTCACATAATATTTAAAAATCTAGTTCATACATAAAAAATAACTAATTCATTTTCTTGATGAGTGACTACTTTAGTTCTTGTTTCAGTTTAATACTTCATAAATGTTTCCAGTTGTAGAAAAAAACAATTTCATGTCACTAATGATATTGCAAAGAAAAAGTTATTACAATAAAAATGTTTAGTGGTTGCATTAGATACATTTAATACATTTGTTTTAAGAAATATTAAAACATTAGCTACACTGATCCTGTGCCACCGAAAGTGTTCAACTTTCTTATATTTAAACAATCTAAGTTTGCTCAAGCTTAAAATAAAAATTAAAGTGCTTTTAACTATAATTTAACTCATATGAAAATATTATTGTGTATTCTCAAACTTTATCAGATTTTGAACGACAAAAAGAAAGTTTAGCAAATTACAATGCTACTGAATTTTTTTAACTAATGTTTAGCTGTATTAAATTTCAGCTTAACATCATGAAAAAAAGCAATACCATTGTAATCTATGGTCTAATTTAACTGACTAATAACTCCACAAACACACATTTTTAACCAAGTATAAACAATTATACAAAGTGGAAGAAAATTGTATTCACTTACAGTACAGAATAGTCATAATTAAAATCAAATTGGTATCTGTAGGGTTCTCTCAATTTTTAATGTACTATATTTTCAGAGACTTAAATATTTTGGACAAAGCAAAATAAATAAATAAATCTGAAGAGTTCTGTTACTACTGAATATTGAAGTAGATAGTCATCCTGTTTACAAATGCAACCTGCTAAATGATACATCACCACAGACAGAGTTAGCTTATGCTCTTAAAGAAGAGCAGAGTCTACACAATAAAGCCATTTGTACTTGAAAAGAACAGTCTCAGAATACATTACAGCAGCATTACATGTACGGAACAGCTCACTGTACACAATTCTTTTGGAATAAAGTAGCATCATATCTTCATTACAATTTATAATAACTTTCCTTTAAATAACAAAGTTTATACAATATATGGAAAACATATGTTAACTTAATGAGATTTATGATCATATACTAGAAACCTATATTTTATTTTGAAGCACAGCTGTATACTTGAACAACTGAAAAAACATTTGCATTTATGCTATTATTTGTTTCACCTTTATATAAATATATACACATATATATATAAATTGCTATTGTATTATTAAAATTTTAAAATAACAATAGAGCTTGCATTAAACATACCTCCTGCAATTGAGCCTAAGAAAAATCTGTACAAGCTTTCAAGTATCTGGATAGCAATTCCTCTATCTGCTGGGCTCTGAAAACATGAAATAAATAAATATTAATTCGGAGTGTAGGAAAATGTACATTTTTTTGACACAACATTAATAAGCATATCTGCCATTATCACTAATTTTAAACTGTTGATTATAGTGAAGGCAAATGTCTAGCAGCACTTACCACCACCATTTTTTTTTCTTTTTGAATGGCTAACTAGAGGACAGACAACTGACTGGCAGCTCCTCCTGCCAACATTTTACTTCTACATACCATGGTTTGATGAGCACTATACTTAACAAGTAAGTGGATGTAATTGGCTAATGGGGTCTTTGATTAACTGATTATCAAATAACATCAGTCGTCCAGCTGTATTGACTATAGTACTTGCTCAGCCTAACTAAGCTCACATGATGTCTGTCATACAAGAAAATTTCCATAGATTTCAAACAGATATAATTTGACGTGAAAAATCTCCAGGAATGAAAAAGAATGTCTAAAGAAACTAAGAAAACTCTCAGATCAGTGTTATTCCCAAGTCTTCTAAACTTCCTATTAGATCCCCTTTTTTCATCCCGAAAGGGACTTTCAGATAGTTACATTTTCCTTGTTAGATCCTTTGTTCATCCTGATAGGAGCTCCTAGGTAGTTACTTTTTCTTACTAGATTATTTTGAGTCATTCCTACAGGAGCTCCAGGTGGTCATTTTTCCACAAACCTAAAAATTAACTGCTCACACTACTATTTACTCTACATTGAGATAAATAGTTTATATTATTCTCTGTTCAGTCGCTTTTAAAGGATGCTTGTAGCTATTTCAAAGCCGTGCTTCATCAGTAATTGTTCAGACCACAAGCTGTGACATCAAAGAAAAGTGGGTAAGAGGGTATGACGGCCTAAATAATATATATATATATATATATATATATATATATAAACACAACCAAACAAGAAGA